AAGGTCACAATAAAATTCAATTAATTTTTGTTGAGTCGGTAATCGTGGTTGGGAAAATGACTAGATCTTATACACCCCCATAGGACTACATCTAACTATATCATAAGTTATCAATAAATAAAATATTTTCACTCTTATCGGAAATAGAAAATTTGTTTAATCTTAAGGTTGTACTATCAATTGAACTAAATTAGAGCAGATAAGTACACTTTATTATTTTGGTCGTATCAATCAATAACAGTAGTAAAATATTTACAAGTATTATTAAGAAATACAAAATATTTTTTCACAAATAATTAAGTGATAAAATCTGTAAAATATTTCACTGTCCCAATTTTAATATACCACCCCAACTTAATCAATTTGGTGATATTCCTTTTGTTAATTAATACATTTTTGAATTGAATTAACTGACAATTTGTTTTACTAATTGTTATTTAAAACAGCTAAAATATTTTTGTAAATTATGATGATAAGTTTGTTGACCGTGTAAGAAGCACGTAATTAAAGAATATCAATATGGTAACATTGAATTCATGTTATGTTTAGTTTCTATGAAAAGTACAAAAACTGATTTAAGGGAGATTTTAATCATCGTCTCATGAAATACAAATAATTAAATTCTCATCAACAATAAAGTGCATCCGGGTCTTATATTATTAACAATTTGTTATTGCTAAATGACCAATATGAGCATCATTTAAAAATGAATTTGGTTCTTTTTAATTACTGACTTGTTGTTCCTTCAAGAATTTTCAAAATGGTTAACGGCGTTTTAAAATAGTTTATTTTAATAGCTTTAAAGAGTCATATTTTATTAAAGATAATTTAGTCATTTATTAAAATACGTCGGTCACAGTTGAACTCAATTTGCATCGAGTATTTGTTCAGTTGAAGTGTTTTGTGATTTCTTTTTTTTATCCATCACAAAACAATATACAAAATGGTTAACATCATGGCTGTAAATCCTATTATTGCATTATCGACTTTAAATTTATTGTTTTATTTACTGTTCATGGCTGCAGTGTTATGGTATGTATACTTTCGAATTACACACAAGGAGATGATAGAGTTGGCTAGTAAGATTCAAGGGCTAGAAGGATTACCAATTTTTGGTGTGGCTTTCCAGGCTATATGGACGGATCCTCACAGTAAGAATTTTTTTTAGATTTTGTATTTTTAATTAAAAAAAATATTAACAATAATTTTAATATTACAGCACTATTTATGAAGTTGTTAGAAATAAGTTATACTTTTGATATAAGAAAACCGATAAAAGGATGGCTAGGAACTAGATTAGGAATCTTTTTATTAGATCCTGATGACATAGAAGTGATTCTTAGTAGCTATGTGTATATTGATAAGTCTCCTGAATATAAATTTTTTGAACCATGGTTAGGAAATGGACTTTTAATTAGTACGGGTAAATAATATATATATTCATTTTTTTCATAAATTTAAGTTTTACATTAATCGGCAGGTGAAAAATGGAAAGCACATAGAAAACTGATTGCGCCTACTTTTCATTTAAACGTATTGAAGTCATTCATAACACTGTTCAATATTCATAGTAGAGACACTGTCGTCAAATTGATGAAACTGAATAACAAGGAATTCGACATTCATGACTATATGAGCGAATGCACAGTTGAAATATTGTTGGGTAAGAAGCTTTATGCTCTTTTAACCAGGGATTTATTTAAGATTTTCCACATTATTTTTTGAACCCCAAAAAT